CATCTACAACTAAAAAATAAAAACGTCCATACTATCCAAAGCATATTTGATGTAATTCCTGTGATAATTCCAATGTCATTTTTCAAAAAAAATTTTAAATCCTAAAATTTGTATTAAATCAGAAAAGACCCCAAAAAAACCAAAGCAATCTGAAGCAAAACAAAGTTAGAGCCATCACACTTCCTCATTTCAAAATGCATTATAAAGCTATAGTAATCAAAACAACATAAAAACTAGAATAGGATTAAAAACTCAGAAATAACTCAAGTATTACAGTCAGCTGATTGTTGACAGGCGTGGCAAGAACATACAATGAGGAAATGACAGTATCTTCAACAAATGGTGGTTGGAAAACTGGATATCCACATGTAAAAGAATGAAATTAAAAAAGAAAAGAATGAAATTAGACACTACTTGTCTAACTTGAATATATAAAATTGACTCAAAATGGGTAAAATAAATTACAAAGCTACTAGAGGAAAACCTTTGGGAAAAGTGCCACAGCACTGGTAATGGCGGGGTTTTTTTTAATATGACCCAGAAAGCACAGATAATAAAAGTAAAAACTGACTACTAAGACTGAATGAAGGACTGGGCTACAGCTCAGTAGTAGATCACTTGCCTATCATGCATAAGGCCCTGGGTTTGATCCCCAACACCAAAAAAGGAAAAAAGTAAAACAAGAAGAGGATTGCATGAAACTAAAAACCTTCTGCACAGCAAAGGAGACAACAGCATGATGACACAATCCACAGAGTGGGAAAAAAATTTACAAACCATACACCTGATAAAGGGTTAATATCCAAACTATATAAGGAACCTAAACATATGAAGAAAACAATCCAATTAAAAAGTTGGCAAAGAATCTGAACCGACAATTCTCAAAAATAAACACGTATAAACCAGGTGCAGTAGCATATGCCTGTAATCCCAGAAATTCAGAAGACTGAACCAGGAGAACTGCAAATTCAAGGTCAGCCCCAGCAACTTAGCAAGATCCTATCTCAAGTTAAAATATAAAAGGTCTTGGAATGTAGCTCAGTGGAAAAACACCCTGGGTTCAATCCCTAGTACTGAAAAAAAAAAGTACAAATGACCAACAGATTTGAAAGAAAATGTTCAATATCTCTAATCATTATGAAATGCAAATAAATTACAACCAGTGATACTACTTCACACCTGTTAGAATAGCTATTATCAAAAAGATAAAAAATATCAAGGATTGGCAAGGATCTGAAGAAAAGGAAACCCTTACAAACTGTTGGTTGGAACATTAATTGGTATAGCCATTTTTGGAAAATAGTATGAAGGTTCCTCAAAAAACTAAAAATAGAATTATCATATGATTCAGCAAGTCCACTTTTGGGTATATATTCAGAGGAACTAAATAATATGTCAGAGAGATACCTGCATTCCCAGATTGATTTTAACATTATTCACAATAGCCACAATATAAAATCAACCTTGGTGTCCATGGACAAATAGATTAAAAAAAATTACAGTATATCAACACAATGGAATACTATCCAGGCTTGAAAGGAAGGAAATTCTGTCATACCCAACACCATGGATAAGACTGAAAGCTACATGAAATAAGCCAGGTACAGAAAGACAACCCTGCATGAACTCACTTATATGTAAAATATAAAAACCCTGATCTCATAGACACATAGTAAAAAGCTGTTTAACACAGGCTGGAGAAGAGGGAGGGATGGGGAAAACGAAAATATTGATCGAAAGAGTACAAAGTTACAGTTACACTGGAAGAATTTAGTGATCTGATGCACTGTATGGTAAAAACACTTGTTAATAATGTATTGTGTATTTCAAAATGGCTGAAAGAACAAATTTTTAATATTCTTATAAGTTGCTGAGGTGATGGAAACAATGGAATGATCTTGACAGAATCATTCAATTACATATACACAGCTGAAAACACCAATTTGTATCCCTTAAATATACACAATTATTATTTGCCAATTTTAAAATAATTTTTAAAGAGAGAGAGAGAGAAAAATTTTTAATATTTATTTTCTAGTTTTCGGCGGACACAACATCTTTGCTTGTGTGTGGTGCTGAGGATCGAACCCGGGCCGCATGCATGCCAGGTGAGCGTGCTACCGCTTGAGCCACATCCCCAGCCCAATTTTAAAATAATTTTAAAATTCAATGACACTATTTTAAAAACGTGAAAATCCCAAACACTATAAGTAACAAATATGAACAAGAAAGTGGAAGAACAAAAGGAACTCATTCATCGTTGGTGGGAATGCAAATGGTAACAGCCACTTTGGAAGACAGTTTAAATTCTTTGGTCTCTTGAAGAAATATCCAGGTCCCTACATTAAAAGGTATTCCCATTACACCCCACAGAAATTCTCTTGGTATGGTACTACTTGGGTTGTTAGATGACAGTCCAACATATGTTCACTAAAAGAGCTCAAAAATCATCTCAGATATTAGGCAGGTTCCTGAGGACTTTATTACTCTCTAAATTTGCTTAATGATCATGGATGTATAATAATATAAACTAAAAAAATACAGGGAAAACAAGGAATCTTTAAAAACTGTCTTGAACAAATACCTGGCAGAACAAATGTTCTTTTGTTTCCATCTTTCTGCTGAGAGATAAATTCTGCTCTTCAGGATTAAAAGGCCTTGATCAACAAGTATGATTGAGCAACAGTACAAAAGGATTTCCTGCAGAAATAGAAAAAAAATCATATGTCTATTTAGGAAATTTAAGTAATTATATTTATAATTATATTTATCTACCTGAAGTTATCTCTTCAGTGTTACACTCACTTAAGATTTAATACCTAGCATTGCAGATACATGGACATAAAAAAGCAATTATTAGATTATTATAATTATTAGATTATAAATCACAGGAGAGCACCCAGTCCCTTTGTGGTATAAAGAGAAGTAAATAAATGCATCTCAAGTGGCACAAAAAGCAGAGAAATCCAATTATATTTATTCAAATAAACCCTAAGGAGTAGAACTACAGAAACAGCAATCATCAGCTAACAAATGCTTACTATGTGCTAAACATTATGATAAACACTATGACATTAATTATTTAATTTATTCTTCACAATTGTCCTTTAAGGAATTGCCATTATCCCTATTTTACAGATGAGAAAAATAAAGACTTGGAGAGAAATGAAATTTCCCAAGACCACACAGCCAGCAAGTAATGGAATCAGAATTTGAATTTAGGCAATCTAACTCAAAAGCACATGCTCTTCAGCACTATATAACATTGCCTTCAAAACAATACTACTACAAACCAAAGATGTTTTAGCTTCACTTGAGACCATGGATTTTACATCATGCAACAATAATATCCAACACTTCTGGAAATTCCCAAAATTGTCACAATTTTTTTTACTCATATCTTGAGCCACATCTGAACAGCTATTTATTACATTATTAGTAATGTTATATATTACAATGCTAGTTGTAACCATCAGTGTCTTTTTCATATTGTGAAGTATCATTATTCTGTCAAATAGAGACCCATCACTTTTAAATTGTTTGCATTTATTTCTGAAATGTGCTATAGTAATTAATTTTGAATGTGATATTTCTACTATCTCTGGAATGCAAAATAGGTTTAAAAATAAAATGAAATCATATTAACAATACCCATCTCAAGAAGACATTAGAAATCTATCCAGGTCTCCCAGCAACCCATTCTATGAAATCTCTTCTATACCTTCTCTAATCAGTTCAATCTTTAAACTATTTGTCAGAGCAATACTGTCTTCACTATCCTTGCTGTCCTCACGCTTCAAGTTACACTAATCATTTGGATTTTAATTTTCACATGTATAGTTCTTCTATCAACTCCAGTCTAAAAGAACTGGGACTGGTTACTTATCATTCTTTGAATAATCTCTCATAGTATCAAGCACAATTGTATATATAATAATAATAAAATAAAAAGGAGAAAAATGAAGGATGTTGATGACTGGGAGTTCTTTAATCATCTATCCATTCTTTCCTCAATCTGTAAACTCAACATAGATTTATCGAATGCTCACTATGCTAAGCTCTTTCTGGGCCTGAGGATATAGCAGTAAACAAAATGGGGGAAAAATCCTGCCTCAAGAAGAGCTTACATCCTAGTCAAGGAGAGAGATGATAAAATAGAAAAAAAAATTAAAATATATTGTACTTGTCAGTTATCTGTGATAAATACTAATAAGAAAAAAGTAAAGGGAAGAAGAACAGGAAGTAATATATAGAGGGAGAAATGCAGGTAATAGAAGGGTGGCCAAAGAACACTTGACTGAGAGGCAAACTTGAATGTAGAGGAACAGAGGTAGGGAGCCTATGAATATCTCAGAAAAGAGGCTTCAGCCAGAAAGAAGAGCAAGTACAATGGCCTAGAGCAAAAAGAAGCCTCACTATCCAAAAACCGTAGAAGACACTGGAAGCTGAAGCAGAAACAGCAAACAGAACAGAGGAGGCAGGCAGATTAAGGAGGGCCCATTAATAATACTAAGGACTTAAGCTCCTATCCCGGAGGGGTGGGAATCATGAAAGAGTTCTGAACAGAGGGAGACCAGACCTGAAGTCCTTTCTGAAAGAATCACTCTAGGGCCTCCTGAAGTGAAGAAAGTACTTCAAAGAGTAATCAATTGTGGTAAAAGGTGCTATTGGTCAAGACAAGTATTGAATGACTCATTAGGTTTGCAAGGTAGAAAGGACACGGAGCTGTTGAGTGGAGCCTCTGGATGGTGGCTCATAAAACACCCTTGGAGAGAGAACAAGATGGTGAGGATGGGTACAGCAGACATAAAGTAGACTCTCTCATGAAGTTTTGCTGTCAAGGGAACGAGAGCAGTAACTGAGGAGGAAGTGGAGTCATGAGGATTTAATGCGAAAAAGAAAGGCATGTTTACAGAAGACTGTGTAAGACATGCCACTACAGAGTGCTTTCCCCTCTTTCACTCATGCTGCACCTCCAGCCTCCAAGGAGCCCCACTCACTTTTCCCTTGCAAATGTCCATAACAGCAATTGCACACCTAACCTCGTTGCACCTATTGCCATCAAGGAACGTTCACACATTAATCATTCCCGTCTGTCATATTTGCTTAAAAATATTTTGTGAATCTCCTCCTCCTCGGGCAAGAACCTATGCTCTGGTGGTGTCCCATAGGCCCCGTTTTTATGAGGCAAACAACTCTGAGAAGAAAGTCAACGTGTCAACAAATGAGCAAACCATCCCGGAGATGAAAGCGCAGGGAGTTTCCCAGCGACCCTGTCCTCCACCCTTCTACAGCCACTTTCTGAGGGACCGCGTGATTAGTCCCAGTCCTTGTCACTCTGCCCCTCTGACTGTCCCATTCGGGCGCCTCGCCTTCCTTTCTGGAACCTTCCTTCACCCAGCTCCTTTAATGTTCTACTGTGTCCTCCCTCACATCTCGTTCTCCTCCCTCAGGCTCCAAGGTTCTGCCTTCCTCTCTCCTCAGCAAACCTCACCTGGACACCGCCTCAGCGTCGCTTCCATCGACCCCAAGGACCCTCCTGGCTGCCCTGCACTGCCCCGCCCTCCTTCTCTCAAGCTGAGGCTCGCTCTGGGCGACAAGCGGGTGTCCCCC